ATCCCTTAAAAACCCCAACCAAAAGGCCCAGCCACTGGAAAAGGCTGTTTAACCTCTCACGTTATAGCCACAAGCCACCCTAACTACAAGTGACTAATGTGTTGGGAGTGGTTTTTTGGGGGGTTTTGGGTGGTTTTTTTATATTCCAGGCCTTTAGCTGTGGTGTTTTGCAAAAGTTTTAAGCCCTCTAGGGCAGAAACCATTTTCATTTCTTTTTCTCTTGCAGAGTACCAAGGGCATTGGTTGATCTTGAAAAAGGGATAAATGTTCCATCTTAAAATGATACCTACCTTAAAAAGTTCAAAGGGACAGTATCCTCTTGAGTTTGTGTCATGTAGAAATCTCACAAAAACCAGAGGCGTTTGCTATTGCTCTGCAGTTGGCAATTAAGTACCAAGTAAAAACCTTCCATTTTCCTTTCTTGTCCTTTTGCAGATGCGTGCTAAAAATGGATCATCACTGTCCATGGTATGTCCTAGATACTGGCTTGTAGTTTTCCGAAAAGAGAGGGGGTTTAAATACATTTCTTCCACAGAATAGTGCCTGTATGCCTCTCTCATTTTAGACGACGCACCGCTTTATGTTGGGAAATTTATAAAATGATTACGCTTTGAAATTGCCTGAAATGTTTGATATTTGGAAAGACAGATTGTTCGTGTTTGTTCCATAAACTATGTGTAAAAAAGCTGTCGTAGCGCTAGCTAGTAGTAGTAGTAGTAGTACCAACTGCTACTTCACTCTTGGACTATTACTCAGATTTTAACGGGACTTCACCTTAGCCTTTAGTTTTGGGCATATAACCCTTTCAGCATGCAGCTGGTGGTTGCTTTCAGTAATAATATTTGCACGCAGATTGTTTCTGAAATGATGCCTGCCACCCGTGCATGGTCAGAGACAGGTTGTGTGGGATGGTGCATGGATGAGTTCAGCTTTATCCTTTTTGAGAATTGCTGCCGCTAAATTTCTTAAACTCCTTTTTTTAAAAAAAGTTGGATTTCAGAAATCAGAAGCAACACAAACATTTCCCTACCTGACCCTCCCTGGTAATCCTAAACTGTAGAGGATTTTTCAAACCTGAGCTTGGAGGCAAAGACCTACTGATTTTCTGCGTTCCCTTGTTCCTTTTTGGAGTTGGCCTGTGCATGGAGAACTATCATCACACTGGGGTTTGTTTGTTTTGTATGTAAACAAACAAGCAGTGGTCAGCCTGGCTCCGGAGTTTTGCAAATGAATGAAGTAACCCAGAAATCCCGGCTCTGATTACCTTTGCAGGCGAGAGGCAGGCACTGAGTAATGGGAGCCTGCCCCGTGACAAACGTAGCAGTGGTGCCAACTTTAAAGCAGATTCCACACATGGGAAGTGTCCTTTTACTCGGCATGGCAAGAAGTCCCCAAGTGAAAAGCAAAAAGCCTTTACTTTTCAGTCTGACCACTAAGGGGAGCTATTTATTGACGAAATTGGGTTGTATAATCAAGAGGCTTCATAACACCAAAAAAAAAAAAGCAGTATTCGTTGTGTTAGAACCGTGTGCTGTACATATCCTGACTTCACCTTTGCTTTTGTTCTCTAGGGTGAATAACTGCATTGGATTTTCTAACTACAAATTCTTTCTGCTGTTCTTAGCCTATTCTTTGTTGTATTGCTTGTATATTGCTGCAACGGTCTTCAAGTATTTCATTAAGTATTGGACAGTAAGTCGTGAAATCTGGTTACTTTTTCATATCCTCTGAGTCTGGTGGGGCTGAGTCACTCTTGTTACGGTTCTGCTTTCAGTCAGTGGAGGGTCTGCATTTCGTCCGTAAGGTATTTTCCTGTGCCCTTTTTGGAGCGTAACTCCCACTGTATGTCTGAGATGCACAAAGCGAGAAGCAAAGAGCCTTCAGGAATTTCAAACTGTAGAGTTAGCTTCTGGCAAAGAAGTGATGTCCTTTTCCTGTTCTTGTGTTTGCATGTACGTACCTCAGAATCTTTGGAAACTTACCACTAGTTTCTTAGCTTGGAAAAGTCAAATGTCGTTCAAAAGAAGATACACTTCACTGAAAAAGACCCAGGATTGCTGTTCACAAAAATGTTCTGCTGCTTTTTCAATGCATATTAGCATATATCGTGACTCATAGCACTGAAATTAGAGGTGTTAGAGAGGGATAAACACCGCTTGAGTTAGGTCAGGCTCTTGGACATAAATGTGGTTAATCTTCCCAACTCCAAATCCAGCTCCTACTGTCTGGCCATATCTCCGTACTTAAATGCCCAAATTTCTACCGATTATGGAAATAATTGTCTTCTAAGTAGAAATTCTTAGCTGTCAACATTTGATGCTTTTAAAGTGGTTGCAGGAATACCTCCTACGTGTTTCAGTCACATTACAGGAAACCATTAATTGTGGGTGGGTGGTTTTCTTTTATGTTGCTTCCTGAACTGCCCGGGCATTTTTTTTTTCAACTTTCTCTGTATGGGTGTTTTAAAGATTAGGTCCCTTGCACTTAGGGCGAGCGAGCAAATAAGGGAAGGCACAGAGTGCAGATCGTGGGGTTGCTACCCTACCGGTTACTGTAACTGATTAATAGTTTCCAAAATCTTAATTTCTTGAAAAGTATCTGCTGCCTTCTCTCCTCTGGTATCAAAGTGTAACATCCTGACACTGATCTGTTCATATTTACTGAAAAGAAAAAAAAAGGTCAAAAAAAGGTGTTCATTTTCTAATCCCCATGTGACTCCTCTCTCAATTTAAAAGTTGACTGAAATAAAGTATGCTTCTTATTCGGTTATTGATTATCGTTCATATGGAAGCAATGGAGTTTATGTCCCCTCTGCTGCTAACTCCGTATGACTGTGTTGAAGTAACTTCACTTTGCTGTGCTAATTTATTAAATTTCTGTTGGCTGAATGGCTAATCACCTACATAAAATGCCTCCTGAGCTGCTCATGGGACACC